ATAAATAAAATCACACCCAAATAGAATGACACAAATGAAATGATTTACCTGAGAATTTACTCTCGCTGAAGCCCTGCCCTCTCCTTTATTCTGAGCGAGGGGAACACTTGGGACCCGGCAGTTTTAATATATTTAATGAACCTTTGGACAGCAGCTCTGGAGCAGCAATCACCTTCCCAGGGAGCAGTGACATTTGTCATGCTGGGGGTGTTCTCAGCCCTTTGGGCTGGCAGCAGATGAAGAAGTGGTGGCAGATGCATTTTGTAAATGAGAGCAACGAGTCCTTGCGGTGCAGCTCACGCTCCATTTTGTGGGAAGTAAATCAGCAGATCTGGCCCAGCTCTCCCAGGCAGGTTTTTCCCTGCACCACAAAGAGCTGCCTGCACGGTTTTTCCTGGCTGAATTTCTCCTGAGACAACGAAACTTCGGTCCCTGTGGGCTCCAGGCTCTGCTCTCCCCGTGGCCCACGCTGGTGGGAAAGCAGTTTAGGGTCACCTGAGCCATGAGGTGGCTGCTGGTGGCCTCTCTGTCCTCTGCTGGTTTGTCCTGTTGCTCTTTGGACCGTCCCATGCTGTGGCAGAGCTCCACAAATTGCCACCTCGAGAACCTGCAGCTTTCACACCCACCACCTATTTCTGTCTGCTCAGAAGCATCACACACCCCCAGATCCTCCCCAGCCCTCTTCTGTACCACATCCATCCTGCCAAACTCCACAGGACGAGCTCCTTCAGGCACCTACAAGCCCCACTGAGAGTCAGCTCTGCCTCTTGTGCTTTCCCTGACTTCAGATTCAGGGGTTCTGCTGCTCCTTTCACTGTTTCAGGACTGCTTTGTGCCTCCCTCCTGACCTTCCTCACCTCTCCATTCCAAGGGTTCTGCACCAAAACGGGGTCCTGAGCAGCCACCACGAGATTTGGCACTTCTTGTTTGTTTAGTATTCACTTACAAACTTTTTTTGTTCAAGATTAAGAGATTTTTCAACATATCTCTTGTTTTTTTCACTACTTTGGCTCCTGGCATCCAACCAAAGATTTGCAGCCTTGCAAAAGCCTCCAGTTCCTGGCAGTGTCTGCTCCTCAGGGCTTAGAAGGACCCTGGGAAGCCCAAATTGGGAAAGAGCTTCGATTGCAAGGGCTGAGCAAAGAGAGAGCCCCAAAGCTTGGCCTAGAGCTGAGCTTAGTGCAGGGCTGACCTTAACTCCCAGTCTTGAGGCGTTTGCTTCACTACACACCCACATTGTCCCCAAATCCAAGCTCGGGGTTTTTCCTGGCTGGCTGACACAGAGTGAAGGAGCTTTCCCTCATTCCTGCTGCTCCATGCACCACCCAATTCCATCAGAAATATTGGAGGTGCCTCGGCTCACAGCTGGTGATGGACACTAACCCTAGGACACTTCTCCCTCGTGTGACACCAAGCAGGGCTGCGGGTGTTGGGCACTGACCAACCCAAAAAATCTGTCACAAGGGATTAACCAGCACCTGAGAAATCTGTGCTCACCACCCCAGAGCACACCTGCTCCTTCAGGGCATTTTGGATCTTCCCACAGGGTTGTAAATCACAGCCCAGTGGGAGAGAGCGGGTCTGGGGGCAGGGAAGGGGTGAAAAGTTGTTGCAAAGGATGTAAGGAGCAATGGCTGGACACAAAACTCCTTTTTTTGGACCCTGTCACAAAACCAGAGCTGCTTTTCTGCCCCCATGGACCCCAAGGATCTAAACTGCCAGATGCTGGTGGCTGCTGAGGTGAGGGATAACATCTGGAAGGAGCCAGCTGAAGGGGTCACCTGTGGGCCAGCAGCTGCAGATCACACCCCCAGCCTGGTCTGCAGGGATTGAGGCTGCCCTTATTGCCCAGAATCCCTGCTCTGGGCAAGTAGGGGCTGCTCCTCAGTGCTGCCAGCACCTCTGGATTTGGGATGCTGCTGGCAGTTTGGTCCCTGGGGGAAATCAGCATCTTAGGGCACAATAAACAGCTCCTTTCTGCCTCATGTCCTCCCCTGCCTGGTCACCTCAGCTGGATGGGATTCCTTTCCAAGCTCCACCACTGGCTTTGGGAAGCAGGTGGGAAGGGGATGAGTGTCTCCCCTCACCTGTGGCATTTCCCAGTATGAGATTTAAAGCTATTGGCTCTTTCCAGTTACAGGGAAAAGCTGAGTGGTGGGACAATCCCCACAGTGTGCCTGAAACCTGAACCAGCTGCTCCCATTTCTCCTGCCTTCACCCTCCAAGAAATTCCTGCTGAGTTTGTGGCTCCCATTTTCCACCTCCTGCATTCTGACACCACCTCCTGCTGAGGGCTCCTGGCTTCCACTCAGGACACAGCGAAATCCCACAGGTTTTAGTCCATCTAAATGATCCTAGAGCCTGCACCCAGACCATCCCTGCCCTTGGGAGCCTTTTCCTGACGGTCTGAGGAAAAGATTTTACCACCCAAAATCACCCCCTGGAAGCCTTGAAGTACCAGCAAGAGCAGGAGCAGCGCTGGGCACAGCTCAGCATCCCCTTCAGTGCTCAGGATTTGTGTGCAGCCTCTTGGTGGGTGTGAGCAGGATGTGCCAGTGAGGATAGAAATGGAGCTGGCCTCTCTGGAGTCACATTTAGCCCATCCCCACCCGGAGAAGTGTGCTCCCACGAGTCAGGACAGGCCTAGAGATGACAGGTTTTAGTTGAGAAGTTGGGATTTCAAGGCAGAAGTCAGAGGTTTGGTGCTGTTGGTGTGGCAGGTTGAGAGAGCACTTGTCAGGGGATGAGGCTGTCTGGGGGTCCTGATCACTGTGCTCCATTAATTGAGGGGGGGGGGGTTGGAAAGCAACTTCTGTGGTTTGGTCAAAATTACCTTTACAGGCATAAAAATGCACCCAACTCCTCCTTGGTTTATTCTGCTGCAAGCTCTGAGTCTTGTCCAGCCTCTTTGGGGTGAGATTAAAGGGATTTTCCTCCTCCAGGGATGCTCTCCCATGGCACAATCTCAAATGCTGCCGTCACACTCCTCGCCCGCTTTCTGCCTCTCTTCCAATCTGTCCCTGCTGGGAAGTTTCAAACCAAAAATCCCTTTTTCTTTCCTTCATCCTGCCCCAGGATCTCCGTGGGAGCTGTGGGCTCAGGTGGCCCCAATTCCCCCTGTGCAGGGCCAAAAAATCCCGGGTGCCCGTGGCTGTGGCCCCAAAGGATGCTGAGAATGGCTCTTTGTTCCCTGTTTCTAATTGCTGGCCCCAGGCAGCTCATTAAGGGCTGTGCCCTGTGCCCTCCAGTCCCTGCAGCCCTGCGACGTGCCAGGGCTCAGCCTCGGAGAGCAGATTTTGGGGTGACACCTAAAACCAGCTCGGGGTGAAGCTTTACCCAGCCTGGAGAGCTCGGGGGTGCCCAGAAAAGGGGGGTTGGAATGGCCAGAGCAGACATCCAGAGCCTCCCCTGCAAACGCTGGCACACAGGAACAAACAGCCGGCACAAATCTTGAATTTTGGGAGGCGGGGACACCACCGCATCCATCAGCTGTGGCTGTGGGAGGCGCTGGAGGATGCTCTGAGCCCCGAGCATCTCACAAAGCCTGCGGAGGGTCCAGGAGCGGGGTCCTTCCCACTGCACCCCACCCCACAAACCTCAGGAAAAGGCTTCGGGCTCCTCCATGGAGGAGGGAGCTTGAATTTGCATTTGAAAACAGCGGAGGAGCGGCTGCTGCTGCTGCTGGGAGCACTGGCCGGGTGCTATCAATGGGAAACTGTTCCGTCTGACGCTGCCGGGGCCAAGAAATGTGAGCTCTGCAGATTGCTGGCTCCGACCTCGGCCATCAATGGGAGCTGCTTTTCCTTCGCTGCCAAAGTTCTGTTGGAATTTGGGGCGGGCGGGGAGTGCTCGGGGGGATTCTGCTCTCTGGGAACGCTGCTGGTGCTCTCTGGTCCTTACCAGCCCAGCCATCAGCTTGTCTTTGCTTTGGGAGCTGGGCTGAGCCGTGTCCCAGCCCCAGGAGGCACCACCCTGGATAAGAAATTCTCCTTTTCCGCCCCTTTTCCCAGCCTGTTTCCCACCATTCCCCCTTTGCATCAGCGGGGTGCCCTGTCCCCAGCACCCCACACCCCATGGGGACATCCTTCATCCTTCCCTGCATCCCGGGGGTGCCCTCAGTGGGGATGAGGTTTTGGGTGTGGGTATCTCCCCACATCTCCTCAAACCCTGTAGGAAATGAACCATCCCCACTTCGGGGGCGGGACAGTGGAGCAGGGGACACCCAAAAATGCTGGGGAGACACCCAAAAGTGCTGGGGAGGGGCACTCAAAGGTGTTGTAGGGCACACACAGGAGCTATGGGGGTACCCGGGGATGCTGGGGGTCACCCAGAAATGCTGTGGGGGCATCCAAAGATGCAGTGGGGACACACACAGGAGCTATGGGGACACCCAGAAATGCTGTGGGGTCACCCAGAGATGCTGTGGGAGCACACAGGAGCTATGGGGACACCCAGAAATGCTGGGGGGACATCCAGAGATGCTGTAGGGCACACACAGGAGCTGTGGGGACAGCCAGGGATGCTGTGGGGGCCGTGCAGGGAGCTGGGATGAGCTGGCAGCTTGTCTCAGTGTAGTGTGTGCACAAATCAAACCCTGGAGAGCCTGCAGTGAGCTGGAAATAATGGCATTACAAGCGCTTCCTTGCTTCTGTTTGGGCTGGATGAGGCTTTTCGGGGCCAGCTGAAGGGCTGCAGCACACGGGAGTTTGATTTGAGCACAGCCCTGGGAAGTGAGTGGGACAGGACACGGTGGCACAAAGGTAGGGACAAAGCCCCCACCTCCACCCTGGCATCCCTGTGCCCCCCAGCACCCCAAAATTTGCACTCCCAGAGCATCCCCTGCTTGGAAAAGTCCTGCTGCAGCTGCCATACCCCAGCGTGGGTAGGCAGAACATTCCTGGGCAGGAAATGGGGAGTGTGGGGGAAACAGGGAAATGGTGAAAGTTGTGTGTTTCCATTTTTCCTTTGTCCTTTTCCCAGGAGAGGTGTGAGGGCTCGCCATGCCGCTGGTGAAGAGGAACATTGAGCCCCGGCACCTGTGCCGGGGGGCCCTTCCCGATGGGGTGACGAGTGAGCTGGAGTGTGTCACCAACAGCACGCTGGCTGCCATCATCAAACAGCTGGGCAGCCTCAGTAAGTCATGGCACAGCAGCCCTGGGGTGGGACGGCACTGGGATGGCACTGGGACGGCACTGGGATGGCACTGGGACGGCACTGGGATGGCACTGGGATGCCACAGTCACTCCCACCAGTCCCAAACACACAGAAACAAGGGTTGTGTGAAAGCCCTGTGGGCTGCAGCCGCTCCTGATCCACTGGGGATTATCCAGCTTGTTGAGAATAAGAGGATGCTCAGGGCCAAGTTCAAAATGGGGACTTGGTGGCGTTTTGAGACCCTTTTTCCTCCCACAGCTGGTCTGTGCAGTGGGGGACAGAAAGCCTTCGGGAGCCTGTTGCTTCTCCACTTGGCCAGAAATAGAAAGGTCAGGTGAAGGTTTAAAATACTCCAAGCTATTCTTTTTCAAGTTAGAGCTTTTTGAGGAAAAGAGGTCTCTATCAAAGGTCTCAATCCTCAGCTGTCCTCCTGCCCTGGGTCTGATCTTCAGAAAAGGGGCAGATGAGAGCACTGCACACAGCAGTGTGAAGGTTTAACAGGGGCAACCTATTTCATGCTGAATATAGAGAGAGAGAATAGAGAGAGAAGCTACTCAGGGTCTTTTGCACACCTCCAGAAGTAGATTCTGCTCTAAAATACTCCCAGAAAAAGAAACCTGGGATTCTGGGAGCTGCTGGAAGTGCAGTGGCTCCCATGAGCAGCACCAATGTCTGCTCAGGCCTCCTAGTTCAGGGGAAAATGGGAAGGGAAATAAGACCAAGCTGGTGAATGCTCTGAGGAGGTTTCAAAAGTTCCCTGATCTTGGGAACTGTTTAAGAGGTGGGATTGGAGGAAACCCTGAGGATCTGGGGGGATGGGATGGGATGGGATGGGATGGGATGGGATGGGATGGGATGGGATGGGATGGGTGCTGTAGCTTACGGGTATCAGCAATGCTCTGCCAGACACCTTGCTCAGCTCCATGATAGGAATAACCCTAATAAAAAGCTAATTAATCCTTAATAAATAACCCTAAATAAATGAGCTGTTGTAGGGATGAGAGATGAGAGATGCAGGAAAAGAACTGATAAAACAAATTGCAGATTCCCCCTGCTGTGGCACTGTCCTCACTGCCCTGCTCTTGGCTTTCTACCTGGGCTGGATTTCCCCAGGCCAGGCTGTGTGATGGTCACTTTTTTGGGTTGATCTATCCTGATGGATCCAAGGGCTCTTTGGGGCACCGGGAATGTTCTGTGTCCCTGTGGGCGCTGCTCTCACTGGAAAGGGGTGATCATTTGGGCTCCCCTTTGGGAGAGGATGAGGCTGAGCTCGTGGGGAGAGCAGCCCATGGGGAGGTGGGGTGGTCCAGGGGATGAGCTGAGCTGGGTGAGCCACGTGCCGTGGTGACCCCTGCGTTGTCCCCTGCCAGGCAGGCACGCCGAGGACATCTTTGGAGAGTTGTTCAACGAAGCCAACAGCTTCTACATGCGGATGAACTCACTGCAGGAGAGGGTGGACCTGCTGGTCATCAAGGTGACGCAGCTGGACTCCACCGTGGAGGAAGGTGAGGGGCTGCTTTGGGGTGGGGTCCCGACGTGCTCTCGGGATTGCTCGGTGGGCTGAGGCCGCCCTCACACTCCTCGTCCTTCCTGTGCCCCCCAGTTTCGCTGCAGGACATCAACATGAGGAAAGCCTTCAAGAGCTCCACGGTGCAGAACCAGCAGGTCGTGTCCCGCAACTCCATCCCCAACCCGGTGATGGAGATGTACCAGCGCTGCGACAAACCCCCGCCGCTCAACATCCTCACGCCCTACAGGTACGGGGCACTGCGCTTCCCGGGGCTCCCAGGGGTCCTTCCCATGAGAAGGATCAAATGTGTCCCCCATTTGCAGCTGGATATTTCCAGCTGTTGGATGCTTGGAATGCGTGTCCACACCCTGCAGGTGGTGTTGGATGTGTTTGTGGTGGGGCAAGAGCTCGTGGTCATGATCGTAGCAAAGCCCTTGGGAAGGGGAACAGGGGGTCTTCTCCTGGGGCTGGTAACCCTCTCTCCCCCCTTCCCAACCCCCAGGGATGACAAGAAGGACGGCCTCAAATTCTACACCGACCCCTCCTACTTCTTCAACTTATGGAAGGAGAAGATGCTGCAGGCGACAGAAGACAAGAGGAAGGAGAAGCGCAGGCAGAAGGTGGGTGGGGGCAGGTGGGGGACCAGGGGGCTGGAGCTGGGGGTGCTCGGGACCTGGGGATGGCCACCTCCTGCTGCATCCTTCGTGCTCCCCTCCCCTGCATCGGGTGCATCTCCCAGGGCTGGGTGATGCTCCCCAGGGACTACTCCTGGCCCGGAGGAGCCAGGCTGGAGGTGGAGCCGTGACTTTGTGTTCCTGCAGGAGCAGCGGCTGGTGGAGGACTCCACCCGGGAGGTGAAGAAAGTGAGGAAAGCCCGCAACCGGCGCCTGGAGTGGAACATGATGGCGTATGATAAAGAGTTCCGGCCGGATAACAGGTTCTCACCATCCCCCTATCACATGGCGTCATCGGAAGGATCACTGTCCCCAGATAATAGGCAGGTTCTACCTCCTACACCTTCAGCTCACGCCTCTCCTTTGCTTTGCTCTTCCTCTCCGTTGTCGCGGGGTCGTGTTGCCCACAGCAGGGTCGGGGTGCTCAGCCACAGACATGTGGTAACTTCACGGACAGCTGGTGTCCCCAGGGTGTCATCCTGGACCTCAGGAGGAGCCTTGGCATTGGGATAAAACCGGAGCGCTTTCCCTTTTGTAGCTCAGGGAAGAGAGCGGCTCAGCTCTGTTGTGTCCTCGTCCCCTCTGCTCTCACTCTGCTGTCTTGCACATCGATATTTTCGTGGCCTTGTCTTGTCTCAACCCCAAAACCCTCCCAACCCCACACCCTTCGGAGCCCCCTCAGGAGTCCAACAGCCGGCTTTTCCTGTGCCGCAGATCCTACGCGTCGGACGCTGCCGACCACTCGTACCCGGCCAGCCCCAACCACCCCGCGCAGCTGCTGGCCCCGGCGGCCCACCTGGCCCCAGTGGAGCACAAGGAGGGGGTGCTGGCGGCCACCAACCCCCCGGAGCACGTGTTCCGGCCGGCCACGGGCAGCCGGCAGAACAGCCTGACCCGCCTGCAGCAGCCCCACGCGCCGCCGCCCCCCGAGGCCGTCCTCAACGGGCCCAGACCCCACCTAGTCAAGGATTACGGGTAAAGCTTCAGCCTGCTCGCTGTCCCAGGGAAGGGAGGCTTGGTGGTGGGGGTGTGAGTCCCCCCCATTTCTGGGCTGGTGGAGCAGGGAGAACTCTCCTCTGCAGCTCTCATGGTCCAAAAGTGCTGGTGGGACTCAAGGCCAAATCAGGGGCGCTTTTGGGGTAACGTCATCCCAGATAAAGGCGCAGGGTGGATGGAGGGTTTTCCCCTGGGGTGTTTCCTGCTTTGCACCACTGCGTGGCCCGTAGCCCACCCCACCAGCAAAGACCTCCACCACTGTTCTGACCTTGGGACAGAGCTTTTATTGGGGTTCAGAGCAAATCAAGTGGGAGTGGAGCCAGTTGGGTGCTGGGATGAGTGATGGGATGGGTGATGGAAGCTGGGATGGGTGATGGGTGATGGGATGGGTGATGGAATGGATGATGGATTCTGGGATGGGTGATAAGTTCTGGGATGGGTGATGGGTGCTGGGTGCTGGGATGGGTGATGGGTGCCATCCTTCAGTCAGCAGTGCCCTGGCAGCCAGGAGGGCCAGGTGTGCCTGAGGGCATCAGGCCCAGCAGTACCAGCCAGGCAAGGCAGTAGATTGTCCCGCTCTGGGGCAGCCTCACCTCAAATGTTTGGGGCAGTTCTGGGCACCACAATATAGAGAAGACATTAGAGAGTGTCCAAAGGAGGCCGTGAAGATGGCGAAAGGCTTTGAGGAGAAGCCGTGTGAGAAGTGGTTAAGGGCATTTGAAGTGTTCAGCTGGAGAAGAGGAGACTGAGGGGAGACATCACTGCAGTCCACAAGTTCTTGGGGGAAGCAGAGGGGCAGATGCTGATCTCTTCTTTGTGATACCAGTGACAGGACCCGAGGGAATGGCCTGAAGCTGTGTCAGAGGAGCTTTAGGTTGGATATCAGGAAAAGATTCTTCCCTCAGAGGCTCGTGGGGCACTGAGCCGGTGTGACAGCACCAAAGCTCCAGGAGCGTTTGGACGAAGCTCTCAGGGATGCGCAGGGTGCAGGGATGGCGCTGTGCAGGGCCCAGAGACGGACTGGATGATCCCTGTGGCTCCGTTCTAGCTCAGCCCCATCCCTCCGTGTGTGACTGTCGTGGCACTGACCCCTCTGCCCCCCGTTGCAGCCCGCAGCCGGTGCCCATGGCCGAGTACTTCGTGCCGCCCGCCCCGCCGCCGCCGCCGCCCGTCATCCCATCGGCACAGACCGCCTTCGACAGCCCCATCTCGGCTCCCCCAGCGCTGGCCCCCGGCTCGGCCGCAGCCCCGTCCTACGCCCCTTCACCGCCCCCCGCTCCCCCCGGCCCTTACTCGGCGTCCCCACCGCAGAGCGGCCCCATGGGACCCCCGGTGGCCCCTCCGCCCCCTCCGCCCGGGCCGCCGGCCGTGTCCTCCTCCCCGGCGCACTCCGCATCACCGCCCGCAGCCGAGCCCCGCAAACCGCAGGTGCCGCTGATGCCCATGAGCGACGCCCGCAGCGACCTGCTGGCAGCCATCCGCAGGGGTGAGAGCCGGGACAGAGCCAATTCGGGGGGCACCGAGGGCAGGGTGGGCCCGGTGCTGGCTGAGGGGGGATGAAATGCAGGGTAGAGGTGGGGGATGCGTGGTTGGAGGTGGAGTGAAGCCCCGCGGATTGCTGGCAGCTCTCGGGCTTCCTGCTGGGCTGTAGTGGTTGATGTGCTCCAGGGTGTCTCGTGTAAATTTCCTGTAAATCTCCAGGTCAAATGGTAGATTTAACCTTCTGGAAGGTTCAATATCTTCAGGCTGAGTGGAAGCAGAGGAGGAGCTTTATTCTATGATGCAGCTTTGTAATCATACGTATTCATAAAATCCTAGAATGGTTTGGGTGGGAAGGGAACGTAAAGCTCACCCCATTCCATGCCCTGCCATGAGCAGGAACACTTCCCACTATCCCAGGCTGCTCCAAGCCTCGTCTACCCTGGCCTTGGACGCTTCCAGGGATCCAGGGGCAGCCACAGCTTCACAGCTTCCCCTCCCAGGGAACAGTTTCTTCCTGACATCCAATCTGAGCCTATTTTCTCTCAGTTTACAGCCATTTCCTCTCATCCCACCAATCCTATCCTATTATCCCACACAACCTTGTAACCACCAGAGCAGCAGCCCCCTTCTCTCAGCCAGTACTTCATAACTGGGGGGAGTGCTCCACATCGGCTGCACTCCCCCTAAAGCCTTCCCCCCTTTCCCTCAGGAATCCAACTCCGGAAAGTCCAGGAGCAGTGGGAGCAAGAGGCCAAAAAAGAGCCCGTGGGCAATGACGTGGCGACCATCCTGTCGCGCCGGATCGCGGTGGAGTACAGCGAGTCCGATGACGACTCCGAGCTGGACGATAACGAGTGGTCGGACTGAGGGCCCCGGGCTGGGCTGGCTCGGAGCTCCCGGCTCCGTTCCAGGTGTGTATAGGCACCTTCCCCAACGTCGCCCCGCTCGGGCAGGAGCTTTGCTTTTACACTATGTCCAAAACCCTTCGGGCAGCAGCAGCAGCAGCACTGGTAGGATACACCTCGGAGGCAGTGAGACCAGAAATTAGCGGCACCTTCATAGTTAATGACTTCCAAAATTCTCTGAAGGCAGGTTAATAGGATTACTCCAGGTTTACACCTGGAGCAAGACTGGAGAGTGGCCCTGAGTGTGCTTTGCGAGAGAAGGGAGCCCCAGAGGCAGCAGTGCTTTTTTCAGCTTAATGTTAATTGTGCTAACGAGAAGCTCCTGGAGAAGAAGCCTTGTTTGCACAGCTGGTGCCACCACGGGAGCGCAGGGCTGGCTGTGTGGCCTTGGGGACACTCTGCTGCTGGTGGTGGTGGTTTTGGGGTCAGGCAGCTCCAAAAGCTGCGTGTGGGCAGGAGCCTCCCTCCCTACACCACGTTTCGTACAGTTACACCACTGTGTGGTTCCTCCCTGGAAAATCATGGAATGCTTTGGGTTGGAAGGCTCCTTTAAAGCCCATTTAGTCCAGCTAGAGCTGGGACACCTTCCCCTAGAGCAGGTTGTGTGAGCAGCCCGAGGTGACCTTGGTGACCTTCCCTGTATCCACGCTCAGAGCTGGTTTTCCAGGAAGGCAAGGCTGGTGTGGCTGGCAGGGAGACACAGCCTCATCCAGGCTTGTCCTGCCTTTTCCAGAAAAGGAGTAGAGGTGTCCAGGGAGCTTCCCCAAGCCCAGCTCTCCTTGGCCTTAGCGTGACACCGTTTCAGTGTTATTTGGGAAAAAGTGAATCAGACAATCTGCTGCTTTCAGGTAAACTCTCAACTTGCACTTTGCAGCCCCACAAGCTGTGCCTGTACAGCTGAGATCAGCTCAGACCCAGGCACCGATTCCCCCTTCCCGATCCTGCTCCGTCCCCTGTCCCACATTTGGACGCTGATGGAGGAGCTGGGTGAGCAGGCCCCTATTTCAGCACTGAAAATCCCTGTTTTCCCACCAAAACAGAGCGTGATCCGTGGCAGACTTTTCACAGAGCTACAAAGGGAGGAGGCACAGAGGAAGGCAGAGCAGAAGGGGTGGGAAATACTGGAAATATCACAGGCAGGTGTGGAAACCTGCAGAGAGCTGGGAGAGGTTTCCCACCTGTGGAAAATGGGCTGGGACCAGCTGTGGATTGGCCAGTGTGATGTCCCCAGACCCCCCTCTTGTGTCCCCCTATTCCACGGGTCCCTGAATGGGGAAAGCCTGAGCTCTGTGCCCAGTTCCCTGCCTCTCCCAGTAGCCCTGTGGGTGATGGCTACTTCAGCAGGATTTTGATGATGGAGAAGCAGCCAGACCTCTAAAAGAGGTGGGAGGATATGGCTGGGAGCCAAATGCTGATCCTTAAATTCCACAGAATCCTAGAATGGTTTGGGATAAAAGGGACCTTAAAAACCACCTCATTCCAACCCCCTGCCAAGGGCAGGGACACCTTCCACTAGACCAGGTTGCTGATTTCCTGGGAGATGTTGGTGTTGTGCCAAACTTCTGCTCATCTGCCCCCAGTGACAAACCCCTCATGGCCAGATGTGGTGAATCCTCTGCCCAGCTGCTGGGAAACGCCCCCAGGAGCTCTCCCTTCTCTCGAGTGGCACAAAAATGCTCTCTTGTCCCTTGGATATGACACCTTGCACACCTCCACACCCGGGCTGGGGGCTGTGGTGCCAAGTGAGCTTGAGCAGGAGTGCAGAATGGATTTGGGATGTGGGAGAGGGCAAGGCAAGAAGCAGCAGAGCAACAGGATACGTGGAATAACTCACCTGCAAAACACAAGGAGCAGGAGTGAGCAGAGGAGGCAGGGAGACACCGTGCCCTACAGGCGGCCAGGAAATTCCTGGTGCTCACTGGGAGCTCTTGATTCTGAGGTTGACGCTCTGAGATTCAGGGAAACAGCTGCAAGAGCTTTTTACAGAGAGCCCCTGCAATGCCCAGGACCTGCTTTCCTTGGGAAGGCAGCTGGGGTTTGGCCTGGAGCAGGTTCAGAAGGATGCAGTGTAAAAATTCAGGGCAGTATTTGAGGTGATGCTCCTGGTGGAACATTATTGACATAGATACAATCACAAAACTGTAAGTGAAGGGAAATTTGCTTTATTTGGGTAATTTAGGGAGAGCAACAGCCCTTTGTGAGAGAGGGAAAAGAGCAGGGGCTGGTGGAGCTGCTCTTATCTGTTGCAGAGGTCGAGGGGCTGCAGAGCCACTGTGGGGACCCAGAGGAGCTGAGGAGTCCCACGGGCCCCAGGAAAGGGCTCAGGGACACACAGGACTGGCTGATCCCATGGCTCTGCCCCTGTCCCAGTTCTGCAGGGCTGAGCCAGTCCTGGTGGGAGCTGGAGAGGAGCCCAGTGCCCCTAAAAGATCAGGTCCCTTCTTGTCATGCAGCAGTTGCTCTGTGTGTGTCACATGGGACCGTGGTAACTGGGGCAGGGTGTGTGGCAGGTCAGGGCTGTCCCTGGGGCCTCCCACTGCCCTGTCCCCTCACAGCTCCTGTGCTGGGACTGGCAGCTGCCAGGATTGGGGCCATTGTGATCATAGGAAGGTTGGAAGGGACCCTAAAGGTCATTTAGGTCACTCAGGCCACATCTGCACAGCTGTGGGGGCAGGAAAGGCTCACCCCCATTTCCTCACATCTTTATGTTCTCACACTGCATCCCCATGGGGCATCCCAGCCATCCCAGAACATCCTCACCCCTCCTGTTCTGCTGGAGGAAATCCCCTGACAACACAAACCCAGCTCACATTCTCAGCTCCAAGCCAGCCAGCAGCACCAGGAACCTCCCAGCCCTGCTGGGAACACCAGCATCCCCCTCTTCCAGGGACCAGAACCCCTGTGGAAACCCTAAAGCCGTCTTGGTAGCAGTGGTGGGATCCCCCACCCTCATCCCAGAGAGGTGTCTGGGGGAGCTGGTGGAGAAGGAACCTCAGGGTGGGTTTGGACACCCATTTCTGCTCTGACCATGGCTCTCCCCACCCCTCCCAACAAAAACCCATCTCCCCACCCCTCCCAACAGCGCCACGAGGCAGGCAAGCCCCAGGAGTCATTCCAGTGGGAAAAGACCTCCAGGATCTCCAAGCTGGAGCATTAATGCCACATGGTGGCACTGAGAGCCCCAATCCCATCCTCAGTGCCTTCACCTGAGGGACTCAGCCACTCTTGACCACCTTTTTTTGAGGCAGATTCACCTGTTTTTTGCTCAGGTGACCTTTGAAATCCGACAGAAGTGGCACCAATTCCTTGTCTGCTCTGGGCTGGTGCTGCTGGGATTGTGCCACTCTAATTAACACTGTCTGTCTGCCCCACATGCTGCACACTCAGAATTTTGTACATTTGTGCCTATTTCTGGACGTTTTCCCCAAAGTAGGCCATGCTGTGTTACACAACCTGAAATGCTCAAATCCTCATGTGGGCTGATATAAAAGTGAATATTTAAATATTTTATCTAGCTTGGCAGACATTAAAAAATGCAATCCAGGTCACAGATGATTGAATTTCCCCCCCTCTCAAGAGTACCAGAATTGGGCTGAGGAGATTCTCCTGCACATTAAGGTATCGTGTTCCCTGCTGAAATATAGCAGTGGCATTTCATTGCCAAAGGATAATCACAGAGTGCCAAACATTTAATGAGTCCAACTGATCTCCTGAGAGTTCCTTTTTCCTTCTGCTTCCCTCTACTTGCCAATTTATGGGCATAGATTGAAAATAATAAATATGGCTGTCAACAGGGGGTGGGGGAAATATCAAATATCCCATGTCCATGCAAATGGGCTGGAGGCAGTGGAACAGTAAATTCTGAGCCATTTTGGTTCTGCTTGGAGATATTAATGGAAGGCTGCCGTCCTTGAGGACCATCAGGAACCTCTTGGACATCCCAGGTTGATCTGGGAAGGGACTTTTGAGGGACCACAGTGCACCTGTGGTGCTGCAGGGGGTGTGAGGCTGGTCCTGCTCAGGTTTCTGGAGGTTGGTGGGAGCCCTGCAGAGTGCACTGCTGGCACTGCTCTCCGTGTCCCCCTGACTCAGGGTGGCCACTGCAGCTGGCTGGAGCTGCTGGTGGCTCTAAAAGTGTCCTGAAGGAAGAATGCATTGGGAATGTTCTCATTTCTAATTTCCCACCTGGGGAAGAGACTTAGAGAGGAGCAATCATCCCACCCCACGAGAGCTCCTGCTTTTGCAGCTGTTTCATCTCGGGAAGGTTTTACTCCTGTGACAAACTTTAGGCTGAGCTTGGCTTCTTCAGAGAGCTCTTTCCACAGAAGAGCCCTCAGATTTCCTCCCAGCCACTTTTCCACCTCTCTCTCCCTTTCCAGACACCCAACAGCCCCAACAGAAGCTTTGCAGACTCCCCTGAGCCCGAATTAACACCTCAGCTTTAATGACAAGTGGAAGTTTTGCTTGGAGGGAGGCAGGCTGTAGCACTGGAGGTGGCATTTCGGAGGGTGCATCCCAGAGGTCCCCAGCTGGCAGGAATTCCATGCCAATTCCTTGTGGATGGAGCAGGGATGGCCATGGGAAGCACTCCCCACCGTGGGATGCTGGCAAGGGGAGCCCAGGCTGTTCCTTTCACCGAGATCCCCGTGTTTTCCTGTAGTAGTAGTTATTTAGGGGTAAGGTTTCCACAGCTGGAATGTCACTTTACAGATAAAAAAAGAAATAAAATAAAATAAAATAAAAGGGCAAGGAGTCTGTCCTGAGGAGTTTACAGTCTACAGCAAAGACCATGTAACCTGCACTGCACTTTAGAAGCCTCAAATGCTCACTCACCCATAAATTTCCCCTCAAATGGGGACTGTTGTCCCTTCCTTAGGTGCCCCCTGAGCAGCACCACCACCACGTCCCCCCGCTGGTGACAGCGCCGGGGCTCTCCTGCCCCTCCATCCCCCACGCTGAAGT